GCGTTTGGCTGTGCGCATTTTGAACGGCAGTCGAAGGAGAGTACGGCTCAAAAATGCGCAGATCCAGGATTGGCCGTAACCCACCGGTCTTCTGGGGACAGTGAAGTATGGGCTGTAGACCCGGGCCTCACCTCGGCTGGAGGGACCGTCTCGATTGCACCCTTCGCCAGCAGGGTGCAATCTCCGCTCTCGTGACCGGGGCATAGCCACCGACCACCGTGGAGCGAACTCCCCTAAAGCGGGGAGGAGACCTCGCGAACTGAGTCGCGTAGCCGAATCTGATCGCTCTGATGATGCAGCGGGACAGGCCGGGGAGCTCTAGCCGGGCTCCCAGGAACTGAACCAGCGGAGTCATGCGAACCACAGACGTCCCCCCGGAGGGGCAGCGGTACAGGGAGACCGGCATGCGCACAGGAGTTACCCTGTGCGGATGCACAGTCGATCCCCGTTCCCCGACAGAAGAGACAAGGGAAGGCAGAGCTTTCCACGGGGGTCTGTTCTGCCGGGGGTCTGGCGATAGAGGGGGAGGGGAGTGGTGTAGTCGGGGGACGGCACACGCTCCCATCCGCACCCTCAGAGACAGAGAGGAATGAACGGGGCGACGCACTGGACGTCGTGCTCGCTCATTCCAGTCTGTGTGCTCAATGACAGTGTCAGCTTTTCCTCAACCAGCTCAAGGAGCTAGCTAGAACAAAAGATTCTCCACCGGCCCTCCACCGGGGAAGGAGGGGCCCTGCTACCGCCTCCTGAGAAAAACCATGACACTATCACTGAGCGGCCCGCCTCAGGAACATCGCTTCGCCTGGCGTTTAGCGGGGCACACGGCCTGAGGGGGGGGGGGGGGGGGACGCTTACCTGTGGCCTCCTCCGCGACGCGAACCGGCTGAAGGCTGCTGCTGGGGCCGCGTGGGAGGGAAGGGAGCCGCAGGGGGGCGTCCTCGGCGGCGAGCTGGCGGAGGCCTCTGAGCCGACGGCTGGTTGGAGGCAGCAGCTGGCCGTCGGGGCAGAGAAACCGCCTTCGTCTGCTCCTAGGCGGTCGAGAAGTGCTGGGCAAAGTCCTGGACCGCACCGCCGAACATTATGATGCTCCTGGAATCACCTGACCGCCGAACATTATGATGCTCCTGGCATCACCTGACCAAGGGAGCGAGCGACCGCCTCCGTGACCCGTTTAAGGGCAAGGTAGGCGGCAGGCTCGCAGCTCGCTTGGTCCGTCCCCTCCTCGTGCATATTCCTGAGCAGCTAGCTTTGTAGGTGCTCATCATATGCAGGGCGGAGGCTGCCTGTCCCGCCGCTCTACAGAATCGCGCCGCCATAGACGACGAGAACCCATAGGCTTTGGAGGGGCATCTGAGAGCAACCGCCGGTTGACCGGGGGAGCCCCAGCGTAACCACAGACAGCCGCATCGCCAAGGGGAGGAAGGGCGGGGAACTGAAGCACGCTTTTTTTTTTTATATTATTTTTATTTATTTATTTATTTTTTAGTGCGTGTCAGTTCCGCATGCAACTCGGGGAAAAAAAGGAAATTGGGGTTGGCCGTGGCCGTAAGGCGGCAGCGTTACCCAAAAACCAATTATCCAGCCGCGAGAGATCGGGATAGGGCGGAGTTCCACCCCCACCCGATGCTCACGGAGGCCCGAGATAGCACGGCCATCATCGCGGGATCAGACACGGCAACGCCGACGCTCCCGAGGGAGGCAACGCGGCCGCATCCTCACTTCCCGAGGAGTCAAGCCCGCCTTGTGATGCTGCGATCGTCATCGCATCATTCTCTGGAGCGCCGAGCGAAACAGACGGTACCTCAGAGAGGCAGACGTCTGAAGCGAAACAGCGCTCACTGGCTCTAACACTGAGCGGTGGGTGTGACCCGAGGAACTAACGTCGGGGTTTTTTGTCACACATTCACCGTCATATCACCCTATCCGCGAGTCGAACAGCTTCTATTTTAAGAAGCAGAACGAGTAACGGACACGGGGACTCTCACTATCAGATCATTGAGTCTCGATCACAGTGTAGAGATGCTCATGTTCCCATTCAGAAGGAACATGAGACATCCGCGAACGCTGCTCTGCATGCTGAAGCCCAGGCACACACAGAGCAGCGATCGCGACCATCAGAAAATGACATGAGACGAACGCACCCAGAAGAACACGGGCGAGTCGTCTTTAAAAAGACGTGCCGTGTGCAGCTCTTTCACTTAAAGAGAGGAGGAAATTCACTCTTTCAGCGCTGAGGCGACCAGGGAGAAGCCCAAAGTCTGGCAGACCACTGCTCAGATCGCAGGCAATGCAGAGTCTCGCTGGGTACCGCCGTCACACCAACACTGAAGAGGACGCTCGTCTCGAAGAGTCTTGAACAGTGAGAATGGCTTTCAGGAGTGAAGAGTTCTCTTGGCTCCGAAGCGAAAACATACTGCGGTTGCGTTCACTTCCTCCTTTTATACTCACGGAGTAGGGCGGAAAAAAAAACACTCGTTTAATGTCTTAGGCCATCGATGTGTACTTACATTTACGAGTCATTAAATTATGTTTAATTTTGACTTCTCTGTACATGCTTTTTGGTGGACCCCCTTAGCCTCCAGTGTATGACTGATAGACAACAACGGTTTGAGTGAAAATGTCAATATTGAAAATACTGTGGAAACAAAGGCTACGTTCACATTGCAGGCTGAAACGAATGACCTAATTCCGATTTTTTTGCCCCTATGCGACCTGTATCTGATTTTTTCATGACAGACCCAGGCCACTTCGGTATATGGTCCAAATCCGATATGTATCCGATCTTTTGAAATGCGACTTCAATCTGAACGGCCAGGTCACATATATCCGACCCGCACTTCATTGCACGCACCTGTGTGCCTGATGAACTGTGATGCGTGAATACGTTCATTCTGGTGTCTGTGAACGTGCACTCTCTCTGTCAGTATAACTTCGTACAGTAGGGTGCCAGATTTCTATAGAGCCTTCCAGGCGAAAACCTGGCTAAAACACACGTAAACATGCCTTAAAATATAGTGAAAAAGACCCAATCTGGCAACACCAGCCACCAGTGTCGCACCGCGGCCGCCGGTGACAAAGCAAGGAGCGCCGAGGACGCGCTCTATCAATTAAACGGGTTTTATGACGAGGTCGGTGAGGATCAGAAAAATCTTACATTTATGTGCAAACTTTGCCCGTCGATAAAATAATTATTGTCTGTGTTTGTATATGGGCTGTGGCAATAATAATAATAAAACAAAAGCTCGCAACATATGGGAAAAAATAACTATTCTGCAAACAACCCAAACAACAATTGATGGCGTTGACCGTTACTCTTCTGCGCATGCGGGCCACTTCTGGGTCATTTCACGTTCACAAAAGGAGATCACAAAAGGTCGCATTTAAATGGAAATGTGAACGGCCTTTTTGAAAAAATCGAATTTTTTCAAAAAAATCGGAATTGAGCATTAAGCCCTGCAGTGTGAACGTAGCCAAAGACACCTACATCTTGGATGCCCTTGAGGTAAGCTAAAACATATCAAAAATTAATTTCAAAGTGAACATCCCTTTAATAACTAAGCTAGGTCAAAATGAGGCAGCTTGAGTTCTTACCAGTTCCTTAATTGTTGCATTATTTTCATGTTATAACTGTGAAGCTGCTTTGATACAATCTGTATTGTGAAAATCACTATTTAAATAAAGGTGACTTGACTTGACAATTAATTGCTTTGGAGCAAAATCTCCATCTTTCTTTTCTTCCTCCTTCCTCCAGTCATGTTGTATTCAAGAAATGAGGTTATGCGGGTCAGCTAACAAAAATCAGGTAACATGCAACCTTTGGTTACAAAACCTAAAGATTAGGAAGCCTAATGTTTGGCTTCCTAAAACCCCAGTGTGAATGTAATGTAGACTGAGATACTATATAACAAATAAAAAGAGGGTTGAGTCCCATTAAAGTTCAGGTACAAGTCAATTCAGCATAATAAATAATAAATCACTATTATAGCATAAAGCACTGTTTATTTTATTTGACTATAATTTTATTTTATTTCATACAATGTGGATCTGCATTGAAAATGGCCCTTTTTTTGCAGTGGGACATTTTCTATATAATGATTTTCTATGATACAAATACACATACAACAAATGTGGTAAGAAAATGGCTAAATCAGACAAACAATATAATTAATGTTCACTGTAATAAAAATGAAAAGATTAAAAAAATATTGCACAGCCACCCAGTAGGTGGCGATATGCACTAAAAATTTAAATCACCATTAAACCAAAGAAGAAGAAAGAAGAAATATGGGGATTTCTGGATATAGCACTCTATTGAGAATGTTTTGTGTTCACTTTGAACATTGAGATGACTGAACTTACTCTCCGCCATGTTTTTGGAACCAATAAACGATAAAGTAATGATGATTTGGGTTAAGAGCTCAGGGTTTATATTATAAGTTAGCCCTGCTTTCTGGAATACTCCCATTCTGAGGCACAGGCAAAAGGGCAAATGTCACCACTGTAAATGAGCATGTGTGTGTGTGTGTGTGGTCTAGTCCGTTTAGGTAAACATAATGATGCATTGAATTTTATAACAGCATGGGGAAATTTATCATCCCCAGTTTTGTTGTTAATGATCAATCTGAGCATTAATCTCAAAGCTTTAAGTAACAACTGCCAACCACGCTGGTATGCTTACATCTTAAGGTGTTTATTTTGACTACTTTTAGTGTTAGTTACAACCACTGACCTTTCACACAGCGGATTATTTTAGAGAGGGTGTGTTATAATCATGTGTTAAATCACACTGCATGGTGTTAAATAATGTTTCCGAATTACAGACATGTTTGAAGCTTCAGCTTCTATTATGACCTGGTCTCAAACATTTACCAATCATATTCAGTGTAACATTAATAAAAAATATGCTAAAGTTTGAAATCCGAGTTAAAACAAAGAAGACAAAACATGTATAATAGTTAAGTAAAGTGAGCCCACCCAAATCTTAATGTCTTTGCTCTCACCTTAACTTCGGGTGGGTTCCACCAGTGGTCTTTCATCACAGCTTCAACACTCATGTTGCTGGCCAAGAGGACCACACGGTTAATTTCAGCGCTGCAGGTCACCTCACACTCCTTTCCTGTTGGCCATCACAAAGAGGTGTTATTTATCAAAACAAACCATCAATTTCTTCAAATGTCTATCCTATTTTATTCAGGTACACCACCCTTTTAAGTTTGGGGTCTTCAATGAAAATTACAGCATTTATAAATATTACAATTTAAAACAACTGTCTTCCAATTTATTATATTTTAAAATGTAATTTATTTCAGTGATGCCAACACTGAATTTTCAGCAGCCATCAGTGTCACACAATCCTTCAGAAATCATTATAATAGGCTGATTTGGTGTTCAAGAAACATTTATTATTGTTATTGATGCTGAAAACAGTTGTGCTGTTGCACAGTCATTAGCTGTTTCTCAATACCAAGTACGCAAAGTTCGGACTTGCGTCCTTGGTAGTTCAGACTTGCCAATTTCGACTCAGGAGAATGAACTCCCGAGGACGAGAGGACGCGAGCCTGGTTCTTCTGCAAATGGAACAGAGCGTACTTGATCGCGTCACTCAGCACGCTCTGGCGACTCCGGTTATCTCTTTAGCTAGCTATATATATTTTAGGCAACAATAAAACAAAATATGCTACAACTCTGCATCTTTTCATCAACAATAAAATGAAATATGTTATAAAACACCACTCTGCCTCTTTTCATAAAAAAAAAAAAAAAAAAAAAAAAAAAAATCAACATATTAATGGCCATGTGGTACAGGCAACGCGATTCTCTTCACTGCATTTATTAACAAAATGAACATGATATTTTTGTTTTCATTTTAAAAATATGAAACATTGATTTGTATTGACATTTAACAAACAGAGACAGTGTTTTGTCATTTTATTTTATTGTCCATATTGTGAAGATAATATAAAAAAAAATGTTGTTAAAGTTAAATAGCCATAAAGTTATGAAACCTCAAAAACGATTATTTTATTTATTTATTTATTTTTTGCCATGGAACAAACTATAGTTTAATGAGACCAAAGACAGACTTATACACAAGACGAATTATACGTCAAGTTTATCATATTCTCTAGACTAGAGGGATCAGAGCCAGCGGCAAATGTCAGAAGCACTAGCCGAGGATAAGCTGTTCCAGTCGGGGTTGATCTCGCTGAGTGTCCGCTGAAGGCTTGGATGTCAGAACTCTGAAAACGTCAGATGCATTTTTCAAATAGGCGCTATCTTTATAAATAAACTACAGATTTGAGATTTTAAACAACCACATTCTCGCCTAAAACACTCTTAAAAATTACATTTCATGACACAATAACAGTAGTATTTTGATATTTCGCGGATTTTCTCCTTTCCTATTGACGCTTGCTGGTTGGTGCGAGGTGCATTCTGGGTTACCTGGCTATTCTCAAGTCCACACAAGTCACCTCTCGAAGCATCCTCGATAAACGGGGCAGATCTAGAACACATCCGGGGATTTGAACTGGACTTGGCTTGATGTGAACTTTGAATTGGAACAGTACTCGGGGCAGCGACTGATGACGTTCCACAAGTCCACAAGAACACAAGTACTGACAAGAACGTATTGAGAAACGGCTAGTGTCTGCGCCAGTCTGTCTTTGCTACACTTCCCAGGATCTCACCTGAACTCACTTCCTCATTAGCCACCTGTTTCTCATCATGATCATCTGTGTCACCTGTCCTCACCTCGTTATTGTTTATTTGTATCTGTATTTAGTCTCCTTCTGTTTAGTTAATCTTTGTTGGACGTCATCTATGTTTAGTTGTGTGAACTGAAGTCCTAGAATGCTTCCCTTCATCTTCATATCTAAGTTTGTAATTAAAGCATCTACATTGAGTTCCTTTTGTCCTTGTCTTCTGCATCCTGTACAACGCCTGACAGAACAACCGAGCACCCTAAGATAGACGATGGGGCAAGAATTATCGTCCTTGCTGAGGAAAGCATACACTTCCTCTTGTTTGTCAAGGGGTTTATCCCCACTGCCATCCACAGCACCCTTGACAACAAGAGGTTGTGTATTCTGTTCAGGCTCGGGGCCACCTTTCACCACCTGATCGTCCTTCCAGACACAGCCAGACCATAGCTGTCAACCCTCCCGTTTTTTCCGGGTTTCTCACGTATTTTAGCTCTTTTCCCGCTGTCTTCCCGTTTGAGTATTTTCCCGTAAAATATACCGTATTTTTACTCTCTGATTGTGTGAGACGTACGGGCTCGGACAGATTCGGCTTGAAGTCGTTTATCCTCGGATGCGGTGCCGCGCGCGCTGGCCGGAGACACACTGGCTGCGTGGCGTGTCCGTTTTTATTGCACGCTGCCTGCGTGACACGCGCGTCTCCAGAAAACGCGTGCATACTAGAAATAGAACTGACGCCTATTTTTCACGCGACAGGCAAGCGTGTTTCTTTGCCTGGAATTTCTTTGCGTTTCCAGGCAAAAAAATAAATAAAAAATAGGAAACGATGTTTAGGCTAGCTGAATGTAATTTTGTACTCGAATACATATTAATACATTACATTTTGATGTTTGAAAGTCTAGGTTTTTACATAAATTCAGATATCAATGTAATTTAAACAAATAATAATAATTATAAATAGATTTTCAAATATATGAATAAAATATATTTTCTTTTTTTTCCATTTGTTTCTTAAGCTCTTAACAATGTGACTACATGAAGAAGAAAAAAACTTACAAAAAAAAACGTTCTGGGCCTATAGGAGGATATAAAGATAGTGTGTCTTCTGAGTGATGGTCCACCATCAGGCTAAATAGGCTCTTTAAAGCTACACAAAATGTGTAAATGTAATTAAAATAAACAGACAGCCCACTTCCCTATTTTGCGGATTTTGGAAGATGTGTGATAGGCTAAATGTTGAAATTGTTGTCCAAATGCTAGAGCAACACACGCTAATCCAAATGTAGATTTTTTTCCCTTTAAATGACTGTCTCTTTCTCTCTCACACATAGGCTAGTTATGAACACCTTAGACTTTTAAGGATTGTGCTTTATTTTTAAAGTTTGTGGGTGAGAATCGTGCAAAAAAAAAATCCCTTATTTTGGGGATGGATTCCGGGAAAACTCCCTTATTTTCAATGTTCAATGTTGACAGCTATGACCAGACTCAGCTGGAGTGAGACCGTATTCTGGTGTCAGGAGAGCGTCGTTCTCCCCGAGCCAGAGTTTTCAAAGCCTTCATCACCGCTGGTTCCGTCCAGCCCAGCCGAGCCTTCACCGCTGGTTCCGTCCAGCCCAGCCGAGCCTTCACCGCTGGTTCTGTCCAGCCGAGCCTTCACCGCTGGTTCCGTCCAGCTCAAAGCCCTCTTCATCACTGGTCGGTCCAGCCCAAAGCCCTCTTCACCGCTGGTTCTGTCCAGTCCAGCCCAGCTGAGCCTTCACCGCTGGTTCCGTCCAGCTCAAAGCCCTCTTCACCGCTAGTTCCATCCAGCCATACCCAAGCCTTCAGTTCTGGTTCCGTCCAGCTGAGCCTTCACCACTGGTTCCGTCCAGCTCAAAGCCCTCTTCACGGCTAGTTCCGTCCAGCCATAGCCGGGCTTCACCGCTGGTTCCGACTGGTTCTCCTTCCTGTCATGGACTCCAGGGTGCCCACCCCTATCCCATGTTCTGTCTTGTATGGCGCGGATTGCGCCTAGTGGGAGGGGGGAGTTATGTCAGTCATCGTCTGCACCAGTCTGTCCTAGTCATAACTACACTTCCCAGGATCCCGCTTGTCTCCTCACCTGAACTCACTTCCTCATTAGCTACCTGTTTCTCGTCATCACCTCGTTATTGTTCATTTGTATCTGTATTTAGTCTCCTTCTGTTCAGTTAGTCTTCGTGTTTAGTTGTGTGAACTGAAGTCCTGGAATGTTTCCCTTCATCTCTGTAAGTTAAATTAGTAAATAAAGCATCTACTTTGAGTTCCTTTTGTCCTTTTCTTCTGCATCCTGCACAACGCCTGACATGCTGCTTAATATTTTTGGGGAAACCGTGAAACAATTTACATACAGAGATGCACAAATATTTTGTAACATTATAAATGTCTTTACTGTCACTTTTGATAATTTCAATGGGCTCTTGCTGAATAAAAGTATTCATTTCACTAAAATAATCTTACAGACCCCAAACTTTTGAACAGTGCTGTATAGCTAGCTACAAATATGTGGGCATAACAGATTCTCTATAAACTCAAGACAGTAGCTGACCTGAATGATGAAATTTACTATATGAGAATGCTGTTTGTTAATGGTTATATAACACTGCCCCAAAAAGACTATTTTATGTTAAATGCATATTTAGCTAAGTAATTACAAAAGTCAGCTTTTGACTATGTGACAGATGGGTTTAAATATATTTTTTTTCTGATTCAGAGACAAGAAAATGTGAAAAACATGTTGTAGTTTCAATGGCCCTTGTGGCAATTTAGAGAATGCAGTGTATACGTGTGTGCAATGTGTGTTTTGGGCCTAAGAAGTGAAAAGCAGAAATGCAGAGACCTATGGCATGTCCATCCTTGCAGCTGAGAATGATATTTGGGCTGAGATTCTGCGGGAGGGAACACTGGCCTGTCAGGTTGGGGCAGAGACGGAAGGAGCCGGTCCAATTCCCGTCCTTTCTGCATCGGATTACATTAGTGGAAAGACCCTGTAGCAAAGACCAACATTTCTATTAATCATCATAAAGGAAATTAACTAACCATTACAACAAACATAATGTGGTTTCATGACAGGGTAAAGGCCAAAGATAGGTATGACCTTACGGTTCTGTTTGTCCAAGTTTTAGAAGCTGTGAAACTGATGAATGAAACAAAGCAAATGTAATATTTGTCAGTCTACCAGTCATGCAGCTGATGAACTGCCAGAGGGACGACACAGAAATATTGCAACGCTTAAAAGTGATTCATAGGGTGCGCATGATGAATGGAAAATGCCAGTAATGGGAGGTGATTGACTGAGACGTTGACGGAAGAGAAGAGAAAACGAGGAGAAGAGAGAGAGAGCACGACAGACCTGCTTGCAGCGGCTGTGCTGTCTCACCGTGTGGTTAGCCCTGTTGCAGTCGATCCAGCAGTCGCTGTTGAACTGAAAGCCATTTGTGCACTTGTAGGTACCGTGGAAAATGGGAGGAGGTGGCTCACATGTGACTGCCACACACTCACCCGACTGCCAGGTTCCATCCTCCGTACACTGCCGCTTAAACGCACGTCTGTGGTAAGTCACAGGCACTGACCTGCGACACATTCATTAACACAAAGATGCATAGATTCAGCAGAATTCTGTGCCATATTTTTTTGAAAGTGTAAAAGCTGGAACTACAAGACTTTTGCCCAGATTTTTACCACCATTAGCAGTCTGGAGGAGTCAATGCTAGTTGCGGAAAGTCATAGCCAGTCTGTAGATGATGGGCACATGTTTATGAAAAGTTTGTTGTGTTCAGAAGACTCAAAAGTCTGGTAGTGTGTGACAGTGTTATATTAGGATCACTGAGATACAGTGCCTGTACTATTAGAGTTCTCTTACGAGAGGTTCTCTCATACTGCGTAATATCTTATGCTAAGGGAAAAACCCCTCTTTTTTTATCCTTTTAATCCTTAAAAAATTATCCTTAATTTTGAATTCATGTAAAACACATTACATCGCGAGCCTATTGGCTGTCCTGCGGCAACTGCAGCAGCCTATCTAGATAGGCCCATGGTGACGTCAGATCCAATGGGTCCCGCTGAGACTGGCATGGTCTGGGCCTATAAATACAGCTTGATGGGCTAATATCTGATTTTTAATCTCTTCACCGAAGCTCACACATCGCTGGATTTGCAGGATATCTGTATGGCGGCAGGCTGGACACTCCCCCTCTACATTTTTAAGGTTTTATAACTTAGAGGTTCCCACCTTACAGGCTAAACTACTTTCGATCTGCCCCGTAGCTTTGGCTCGGAATACTGAAACCGCTTGAACACCGCTGGTTGATCGATAAAATAACTCTATGGGCAACAAGTAAGACCCATACTGTTACCCAGTTCAGGCCGAACATTTTCACCCTGACTGTGTGGAACACTGTTGATTTGATTAGGTCCCTTAGGATGCTATTGGGAATGATGCTTCTAGCTACTCTTCTCAGACTCTCTGTGAGTCCCTGGTGTTTATGGACTATATGAGCCCCGAGCACCTGCCCTTGGGACTTTGGTGTTGGATCCCAGCACACACAACATTTTACACTGTGTTCCCCTAGCGAACGACATTACGCAGTACGAGAGAACCTCTCATAAGAGAATCAGTTACTAACGTAACCTTGGTTCTCTCTAGAAGAGGGAACGACTACTGCGTATCTTTGCGGTGCCTGCAACCCGCTCTGGTTTGCTTCGGCGATGAAAAACCAGATTATATCAGGCCATCGAGCAGTATTTATAGGCCCAGGCCACGCCCATCTCGGCGTGCCCCCATTGGATCTGACGTGACAAAGGGCCTCTCTAGAAAGGCTGCTGTAGTTGCCACAGGACATCCAATAGGCACGCAAGCTGTCTTGCCTATGTCTGCAAGCTGCCACAACGTGTTTTACATTAATTTTAAATTAAGGATAATATCTCTTTTGGCTCAATATCTCATGGAAAAGAGGTTTTTCCCTTGCGTAAGATATTATGCAGTATTCGTTCCCTCTTCTAAAGAGAACTGAAGTTACGTTTTTATTATTATTTTGACTTTGTTTTTATTTTTATATATTCTATATTCATTTAATTTAGTAGTATGTTTTTAAGATTTTTATTAGATTATATTTCTTTTAAATGTGCCCAGTTTTTCTCTGTAACTATTCACTAAGAAAGTGTGATGCCTAGTTCCAGACTAAAATGCATGTTTGAGCTCTTTCAACTGAAAGCAACTTGGACTGGCATATATCTTAAAATATCATGATTTTAAAATATAATGTTCTTAAAACAATAATGCATGTTTAAAAAAAAACTACTGTGAAGTCCTAATTGAACTGAGCTCTAATCTTAACTTAATCTAAGGCCTGTCTGTGAAACCAGGCCCTAGTGTTTTAAAATCTGTTCAGATTTTAAAATTCGTAGTGCAGGGTTCCTCAACTATTGCCCTGGAAAGCTAATACACCGCAGAGTTTAGCTCCAACCCTGGTCGGTGAGTTTGAGCTAAACTCTGCGGGGCACTTCTTGAGTGAAGAGGGATCAGTGTTTAGTCCTCGTGGTTGAGGGCGATCTGCAGGGCGATGCTGATACATATTTTCCGACATTTTCCTGCAGATATTGCTCTTCATGATGAGCAGAAGATGGCTGATGAGGTTGATAATCAGGTAGATCCTTAACCCCCTCAGCCACCCTGCCCGTGTATACGGAGCTGTTGGATGTTATGGGGCGCACCGCCAACAAGTTGCAGCTGCCATGGCAACGCGCTGGAGGAGAGACCGTTTGCGGCAGGCTTGAAGATCGGTTTCTCCACGGCCATAGACCGCCAGCTCAGGTGAGCCTTCAATTCATTCCTGACCTACATACTGAGGTCGAGAGGGAATGGAAGAAACCATTCTCCGCTCGTATCCACCGACATTAGCGGGCTAGTTTCGCTGATGTTGAGGGGAGAGAGGAGCATGGGTACTTGTCGATGCCGCCCATTAACAAGACGTTTGGGAACTATCTCGTGTCTGGGCGGGCATCGCCACTAAGAGCTCCAACCCTGCCATCCAAACCGCTGAAAAAAAAGGTGCGTCTGAATGGTAGAGGATACACGGCAGTGCTGCACCATACACCATGGCGGTGCTGCAGGCATACCAGGCCGACCTGCTGGGGGATCTCAACAAGGGGGCAGGAATGTCCCCTGAGGCAGTGGCTGAGCTGCACCGCACCACAAATCTTGCTCTCCGGGCCACCAAGCAATCGGTCGGTCGATGGCGGCGATGGTGGCCATGGAGAGACATCTGTAGCTAAATCTGGCTGACATCGGTGATAAAGAGAACCTTTCTCCTCGATTCGCTGGTTTTGCCCTCTGAACTCTTTGGCACCTCTTTAGAGGAGGTGGTGGGGAGGCTCAGAGAGGCGAAGGCATGCTCAGCAGCGTTTAAGACATGTGATCTGAGATCCAGTTCCACGCCCAGACACTTGGGAGGACCTAGCCCTTCACGGTCTGAGGACTACAGGCAGGGTCAGCGAGCCAGCATTTCCTCTCGTGTGCCCCCTCCCCAGAGTAGCAGGGCGCAGAAGAGACGTGACTCCTGCAACAGGAGAGATTTGAGGGAGGTTATCCAGAACAAACGCACTCAGCGCAGGTAGGGTAGTGGTCATAAAATCTGCCCTCTTCCCTCCTCCGACTCCCCAGCGTTCATTACATAAGGCCTGGGGCTGGGCCTATGATGAGAACAATGTTCTGATGGCCCGCCTAGGCTTGGTTAGTGAGAGCACCTTTTTTAGGCATGTACAGTGGTGGACACAAGCTTGCGGGTTTTCTCAAAGCTATTTTTTTGTGTATAAATTACTGAAATATATCTCTCTATAGACTTTGTTCCTTGTATAGAGCTATGGGGATGTCAATGTATTAAGATAATTGCATTTTTGGGCCCTGAAGTTCCCCTTTAAGGTGGCAGAACGATTGTGAGAAGTGGTATGACTTCCTTTATGATGTGAAAACTGTTAGCCTGTGGGCATTTAGCCACCTCAGGGCAGAGAAGTTGTTCTCTCTCTAAGGAATTTTTTTACTTGAGGTTGACTGACGCAGGAGCTTCAGATAGATCTTATGTCCGGCCCACGGGACCGTCTGACCCTCTGAGCTCTGTTTTGGGTTTCAGTGGGCTGAGCGATTGAACTATTTTTTAGTAAGGCTGTGGCTCCTCCGAGCCCTCAAGTAGATCTATGCTTGCAGGCTGTCCCTCACCAGCGCCACCTTTGCAGCTGGTCTAGGCTGTGCCAGGGACAGTGGAGGTGCTCTGCTTAAGGATTTTTGCCATCACTCCATCACTTTGTGAATGTAGGTTTCTAGAAAGTATGCCTGTCTGACAGCCTCCTCCCATCGTAGTCGTTAGGCCAAGGCCCGCTGCCTTCACTGCATTCTGGGGCGACAAGAGTAATGCAACGTGGTACAGAGGCATGGTTTATAAAGATCCTGGGGTCTTTATTGAGCAGGGTTAGGCCATTTTAGGCCTCACAAAGAGACCGGGTCATCTGCCCGACCCTGCTGTTCAGAACTAGCATACAGAAACTGGACCGCCAGTTTACCTTTGCTTACCTTGCTGAGCTACTGATCGGGGGTTGGGTTGTTGGTGGTTTGGCTCAAAAACAAGCCCCACTCCCCTAGGTTGGGCACAGATACATTTTCTGTCACCCCTAGGCCCACACCCTGGTAAACCTTAGGGTGAGGTGGGAGTATTCCTCTGTGATACAGGGTAGGTCTGAGTACTTCACTTTCAGTTATGTATGGTCCTATCTCGCATTACTATGGCTTGGGTCGAGTGGGAAGTTCTAGCTTAATTTCTTATTTTGTCAAAGTGCGCTCCCCTGAAACCAGAGCATTGCCATGAACTGACATCCATGCATACAGATGGAGGCACCAGACTCTGGGGCCTCCATTGAAGCAGAGTGGCATATGTTGTACTTCCCGTGTTTTAAGGGTAATAGCTCTCTTGCTGAGTACACTACTATGCACAATGTGATTAGGCATCAGGATGCTGTAGGCACTGTGTAAACAGCTTATCTGGCAACAAAGGCTGCACCATTAGGTAGTAGGCCTCAGCAGGCCTCCTTGAATGGGTAGCCTCCAAGAGGGCGCTGTAGGCCAGCTTACTTAAAAAAATGCAGCTGGCCTTAGTGGGTCGGGCAGTGGACTCACTGATGGGTAGTAGGCCTTAGACATGCCTCTTCGGAGATGAGTACCAACATATGTCCCACATACTTTATAGCTGTTAGCTAGCCGTATTAGTCCTCCTGTGGATGGACCCAATAGTTATGTTGAAATAGTATGGTTCCCAGCAGCTATTAGGCCAAACCAGACCTCCCTGATAGGCGAGTCTCCAGCTGGCTGGCCTTAGCAGGCCGCCTTGGAACTATCACCCAGACTCAGGGCTCATAGTTACCATTTGCTATCAGGTAGCAGGCTTCTCAGGCCTCCTGTATGTGTTCAGTGTGAAAACAAACACAACACACACACATAAAGTGGGAAAGAGCTTTGCGATTGACTGTAGGCCTACAACTAGATTTGACAAAACATCGGAGGTATATTTTTACAGACTGCTATGGAAAGAGGAGCAAATGGATCGCTGCAATTCACAGAAACAACTGGACTCCAGTCAGCCAAAGGTGGATTTGCAGTTATCATTTTGTGTCAATATGCTGAATTTAGCTGTAAAACCATACCCGTATATTTTGTATTGTTATACATTAACAGCTCATAAATTAAATATTTATCATTGCATATTCTGCATTATTGGATGTTTTTTTAATAAACACTAACCAAAAAACGTATAAAGTTTTAGAGCTGGACGATATGATATATAACACTGATATAAGTGATCACCCGGATTTAGACCTACCTATATTATATTTATATAAAGCGTTCACAGGCAAATTTGCTTTATGTTTAGGTCTTGCTTTTTTCCCCCCGGTGTCGAAATCAGGCAATAAATGTCAGGCAACATGATTCCTGGCTGCATGTCAATATCCATGGATCACTGGATCTTTAGTAAGTTGTAAGGAACACTATATTGAGTCCAACATTTAGTTTAAATTGATAAAATTGTTCGATTTAGTGGCATTTCCGCAGTTTTCCTCTATTGAATCCAGTCACGCAGCAGATCTTTTGCCACTCAGTCAGGCTGAGGGGGGTTGTCACGCGGGAAAGTCACATGTCAATGCATTCCCTCTATATCGTCATGTAGATTTGTTCAGGGTGGGACTCTAGTCAAATGTGTAAAATTTCGTGCAGATCTGGGCATTTACAGCCAAGTTACTACAACTTCCTGTTTCATGGCGAATCATCGACGCCACAGACACGCCCATCGACGAAAACGCGCAGATAGCACAACTTTACATCGCCAATGCCTTTAGAAGGCACAGCAGAAATTTGAAGTCGATCCGACTAAATCCCTAGGAGGAGTTCGTTAAAGAGTGTGTAAATCGATCCCAAAATTGGCGTCAAATTCAAAATGGCCGACTTCCTGTTGAGTTTAAGGCATCGCTCCAAAATAAATAAATAAATAAATAAATAAAATAACCCTAACAGTTTCAATAGGGTCCTCGCACTGTTAGTGCTAGGGCCCTAAAAATAACCCCAACAGTTTCAAGAGGGTCCTCGCACTGTTAGTGCTCGGGCCCTAATTATATTAAACAAAATGAATGTTTTAAAATGCTTATTGTACTGTAATGTAGCATCATAACATGTTCAATAAGCTGTTTAAAAATAAGTGTAAAATACCCTCCATATTACGTTAGGTGGCGTTATTAGGTTTCAAACCTAATAGGGACTGCGGATGAAAAATAGCCTTTAGGCTAATTCTGGCATATTGACAGAAATGTTTATGAATATGCACTGTCCCTGTACTAAATAAATAAATAAATAAACCTAAGCTCCGCCCCTCACTTACGACCCGGCGCTGTTGTTGGTTAGAACGTAATTCCGCCCCTTACTTCCAGTTCTGGCGCTGGGGTTCTGAAACTGGTGTGCTGTGGGTCTGCAGCTGGATACTATTGTTTTTGGCAGATACTTCATTGTATTTAGTTCTGAGAGATACATATCTTGATGAATGGTTGAATCATCTTTACATAGATGTTTTTTCAAGAAGTTTAATTTTTGTGTCAAGTGCAATGTTAACAGATGTTACTAAATACAGTAACAAAGGTATTGCTCATTGTTAACATGAGTTGATGCATTAAATTATGTAATAAAATGGAACCGTATTGGAAATGCTGCTAAGTTATTTAATGTAAGTCATAATTATGCATCCAAGTTGGTTTAGTGGTCTCTCACCTCTTAGGCTTGTCTATGTGGGGCACATGGTAGCCAGGCTTGCACTTGTACTTGCAGAAAGACCCAACTTTGAGGCCTGTTGCATTGCAGCGTTTGGTCTGCAGGACAGCGTTGGGTACAGGAGGAGGGACCGGACAGCGCAGCTCACACAGAGCTTCGGGGAAAGACCACATGCCATCCTCCATACACGTCAGCACGTTATTACCACCTGTGGAGATGAAAGGACAAATGAACAGGACAAGTTGACTTGAGAAGATCCAAAGTGAACCTACTTTAATTTGATATAAAATAACAGCACTGTTATTTTCAATGATTGTTTTTTTTTTTTTTTTTTTTTTTTGGTGTCAAAACCACATTTGGCATTTTACACAGCTGACCTCTCAATCCCTTGGGCTTTTTGATTTAGGATCTATCATGCTCTACCTACCCACAAGCTGAGCTGGCTCCCGGCACTGAAAAGTGCACTTCTTGCCGTAGGTGGTACCTTCAGAGAACTCAAAGACAGCCGGGTGCACATGGTACTTGTCAGGCCGCCCGCAGTCCACAGGTTCACAGGTCACCTGTTTGTTCCATTTCCCATCCGCACAGGTGAGGGTCACTGTGGATTCAGACTGTTTAGAGGAAAAAGCATTAAGACAAGAGTTTAGACATGGGAGAAGAACATTTCGTTTTCTCTGTTAATTCACTGCAAGCGCAACAATTCGTCAGACCAGACCATATCAAATAACGCACATCTGTTTCAATAACACTACAAACTATACAGAGGCAAAATAATACAGCAATATTAAATATATGTGTGTATCTCTTGGTAATAGAAAGCAGTGGGAAGCTAACAGTCTGAGTTGGTGATAATAAATAGCTCAGGTATGGCATATAAAGCTGTCAGAACTGAAAGCAGGGTGAGTCAGAGGTCATTTCTGCTGTTTTACTAAGTCATGTCAGACCTTTGTGATGTCTGCAAATACATCTGTGCTAGTGGCAGAGCCACGAACCACACACATCCCGTACCACCATAAGAACAAAACAATTAAACTTACAGGGCCAGAGTTCTGTTTCAGAAAATTCTGTCGATCACTGCCATGACATGACGTGACTTTATTTAATGCTTCATTAGTGATTTCAAACTGATTTTCTGTTGAAAAAATAATGAATGCATCCAAGTGTGCCAAACCCAGCGCCATTAAAAATGACACTGATGAATCAGATCCTCATTTTCACATGAGAGTAAAGTTACAAATTTTCATGAATTCGTGATTGATCATACACTTACGGTAAATTACAATAACCTTTGTGCTGAACGCTAACATTTATAATATACCAGCTGGTGTTTTTAAGGTAATGTTAGTGATAGTAGTATTTCCTCCTCCTGTTCATCCTGTTTGATCTATTACAAACAGGATAGATGAATTTATTTCATTTCAGCATGGGACTTTCCTCTAACCAAAATAGACACCACATATTTCAAAAGGTGCATGAGAACATGAAAAAAAAATAAATATATATATATATATATATATATATGATGTGTGTGTGTGTGTGTGTGTGTGCGTGCGTGTGTGTGTGTGTGTGTGTGTGTGTGTGTGTGTGTGTGTGTGTGTGTGTGTGTGTGTGTGTGTGTGTGTGTGTCTGTGTGTGCAAGTATTAGCAAGTATGAATCTTTCTTACTTAAGTCTCCTTTTCTCTGTAGTGGCAATTCCACTGTATCTCCTCTTACTATTTCCAAATGCAATCTAACAATGAAGACTAGTCTGCGTATAGTTTATTTGGACTATTTGGTTATTCTTCTCTCTTGAGTAACATGAGGGGACATTACTCACCTATTATTGACTCAATACATGAATCACTGCAATTCAAACTTTACTGTGTACAAAGCAAAAATAAAAGTCGTGATTCTGTCACCAGGATTAAAACACTGTATTCTTCTATCAGCTCCTCAATGAATCTTCAAACGTGTGAACCATGGAGAAGGGTTTATGCTTTTATGGCACGACAGATTTTTCACAGCCAAAAATATTATTTTTATCTAGAATGTGGGTTATAAGATTGTTGTACTTTTTGTGTGTGGTATTAAGTATGTATTGATGAAAAAAGTGGGTATAGAGTCCAGACTATTTCAGTGAAGAACAGAGTAAAACATGCACTTCTCCACAGAGTTTTTTTGTTTATGACAAGCGATGAAAGCTGTTTGGTAAAAAAAAAAAAATAAATAAATAAATAAAAATTGATGTCAGCTATGTTTATTGAAACAATTTCTGTGAAGCCAAACAGTTTTTGCTGGCAAGGCACAGATTATTGTGGCAAATGTTCTTTAACTTGCATCCACAAAACAAAACATCAAGATGCATGAACAGTGTTTTTGTTGCTGCTTTACTATGACCCATGCAGGCCACCTTTCTTCTCTCGTCTCCTTTCTCTTTATTTGAAATTGCAGATTTAAATTGGCTGGAATGTGGTGAGCTTATCTAATGTTCTGTACCCTCTCAGGAAATGTACCAGCACCTAAAACTGAGCAAAGCAGCGGGAACCATTTGAAATGCAATCCAGACACAGTTACAAAACACTTTTTGCCCCCTTCTTTCCCTCTTCCTTTTTTTTTTTTTTTTTGCGCTGAAGCTATTATTGAAAACAGCTCACCATGGAAGTGTGAGTCTTGAATATTTGAGGTGAATATCTGAAAAACAAAACAAAACAACAAAGGGGGAGGGAGGCAGGGGAGGGGGGTATCAAAAACAAAGTAAGCATAACAATAAAACTAAGCAAATCAAAACAAAACAAAGAAAAACAAAACAAAATGTGTAAAAAGGTGTAACAAAATCAAACTACTCAAAGCTAAAGTTATACTAAGCAAAAAAGAAAAAAACAACAAATGAAAGACAAAAATAAAACAAATTAAGCGAAGCAAAAGCTAAAATTAAACTAAGCAAAACAAAGTAAAATAAAAAAAAAACAAAACAAAAAATGAAGCAGAAGCAAAAGATAAAAGTAAAAAAGCAGGCAAAGCAAAACAAGTTAGTAAGTAAAAAACTTAAAACAATTAAAAAATAAATAAATAAATAAAAAAACAGAAAAACTAAAAAAAGTCAAAAGCCAAAAAAAAAAAAAAAAAAAAAAAAAAATTAAGTGAAGCAAAAGCTTACAAGTCAAAATAAAAAACAACTGTTTATAAAAAAGGTATCCATTTCACCTCTTCATGTGAGGGCAGCAGTGGAATAATATACTTTTTTTTTTTTTTACCTCATATCACTGGCTTAAAATTCCAAACAGATCAGCAGTCACAATCTGCTCAACATCTCCCCCTAGGGTCAGAAAGGCTGCCGTCTATGTCATTATGCCATAGAACGTGTTAGTGCACATACCTGCCTTCTTTATAAAACCTGTGAGGGGCTACAGAAGTACATAAAAGCATCATCTAATTTTCCGTGCCCAGACATCTCTGGCTCTCTCAAAGCCATTTCAAAGCTCAATAGCAGTTTAGACACAAGGTTTATTAGCCGACACTGGCTGCATTACAGGAGCAGTAAAATAAATGACCACAGTGGCTTGCAGGGGCTGTGTGGGACGAAAAGGAAAACATAAACTGTTGTGGTTGAACTGAAGAAACACACACATGCAGGGGGCTGTTTAAATGCCCACCTGCATGGCATATAATCCGTGTCACATGCACAAACGAAAACACACACAAATACACGTTGCTCCTGCATGAAGTTATATCACGACAGGCCGTTCTGGTTTACATACAGAAGGGGACTGCCGTCACATTGGGGGGTGGCGAGTTGCGGAGGGGGGTGTCTGCGTGCGGAGTTTCCTTCTTTTAAAACTTTACAGCTGCTGATTCCTCCTCCACTGAGTATTTAACTACCACTGACTACTGTGCCTAATTCAACACAGATGCCTCTGTTGGCTTTTCTTCTACACCCCTGCCCCATCCTGTGTTTCTCTCTCCACGTGCACACACACACAAATGCATAGTACGCACATCAGCAAACACGCTTGAAATACACATACGCACAAACACGCAGAAAAGCTGAAAAAAACAAAAAACAGGGGGTAAAGCAAACCTCAAACTCTCTGTTTCCCTTTGCACTGTTGAAATGTTGTTTGCCTAACAGTGATTTCAGGACATGCTCTGCTTTCAATAACACCTTGGCAAAAACAAGGGGCCGGCGGCCAGGAAGCTGCGGACACAAAGACATGACACTGTAGTGGTGGTTGTTGCTGTAGTTATCTGCTCACAAAACTTTCCTCCATTCATGATGGGTTGCGAGATCTTAACCCTCGATGCTTCTCTTGGCTCACAATCTTATAAACACATCTATCTCTATCTGTCCTTTTTTTTCAATAGGACCATATTGGCATCATCTCAATGATGTTACGCTAACATGTTAATGATGAAATGGCTAATTTGTCTCTGACTAAAGCCTTTAGGAACATACATTATGAGCTCCCTGGAGATGACTGATAAGCTGTAATGACTGTGCTGGGATCAGCCCTTTAGCTATGTAAAGGTACGAGGGCTCCCTTGCCTTGTCGTCATCATCTCTCTAGCTCACACACAAGCTTCAAATGATCGCATTTTGTAGGGTAAACACTGAAACTGTCATGACACAATTTTCTAATTGACCATTTACTAGCAGACATTATTTCATATGCACACCCACACAGTATGTCCAGATATTATTAATCTTTATTTATTTATTTATTGCACTGAAAATAGTTTCAATGAAGCCAAAGCAGGATCTACAGTTGGTTATCTATGAAATTAGCACTCCAAGGACACTGTTCAGCTAATCTGATAAAAAAAACAAAACAAAAAAACTTAATCTAAAATATAAAAAATACTCTTTAAAAGGGAAAATAAAAACAAGAACTAAGAATATATCTTTCCTTTGTATTTTTTAGTGTGTGGGTATGAACATATAAATATATGTAGTAAATTGTAAATAATGTATTAAAATTATGTAATTACGAAGCCATGATTATTGATTGATTGATGATTATTAACAAGTAGTGGAGAAGTGTTAAGTTAATATTGTTTTGTTTTTTTTGTTCTATTAAAAAAACTTTTTGTCTATTAGCTTTTATTGTAGTATTTTTACATGTTCGAAATAAAGACATTCAATCATTCATTCATTCATTCATTATACAATGTTTTAATTTCAGTGGAGACACTTTGCACGAGTGTTTGTCACATATACAGGGCCACGAAGAAGACTAGGATGCGATTAGCTAGTAAACGGCACAATAACTTTATAAAACCAATCAAATAGAGAATAATCCATCATGAGTAGAATAATAAAAACCATAGAAGGCAAGGTATCCTGGCAAAACCCAGACAACTTCCAGCAAATTTAGCTCTGCAAGTTAGTCTGGCAAAGAGCTTAATCAAGCCCAATTCTAATCCGCCGAAATTGAGGCACCAGTCAGAAATATTGGGCGGGCTTTATTCGATGAAGTCAGCACAGCGACGGAACAAGAAGTGTGACAGTTATAGTTGAACATCATCATTAGAACTCTATAAACGGCAAAAGCATATTATTAAAATATTTTTTTCCACAAAAAGTTTTATCATAGAGAATGTTTAAATGCTAATTACAGCTTACGAGGGAAACGG